GTGCCTGGAGGGGGTGGGAAAGAGCATTAACAAATAACTTTTATTTCACCTCCTACAACGGCCATGCTTTACTTTGGCAATTTAAGGGAAGTCTAGTAAAAAAGTGGTGGTCAGCACTCATCTAATAAAGCCTGATAAAAGATAAGCCATGTGAAAAAAAGCAAATAACAAATGTTACGATGCAATCGTATTTATTATCATGACATGTACATGTTGATATGAACATAAGGAAATGTCTGGGAACACATACACAAAATCAGTATTATTATCTCTAAGTGCAAGGATTATGGAGACATTTTCACCACTACCTATTTTTGTATTGTTTACGTTCATTTTATACATATATATTAATCGTGTGTAAAAGAAAAATAATCATTTTAGAGGCTGTAACTACAAAAAGGCTACGGACTGTCTCACTGAAGAAACCCAAAACAACAAAAAAATCTCAGACACATCAGTGCAAAATTTTACATACAATTCCAGGTAGTTAATAGATTCTCTGAAGCCCATTTGTGGATTGCCTAGGTTCCTGCTCCAGTAGATACAAGGAGAGTTTAATGGCAGAAAAATTAGTTGAACTGCCAGTTTCTCCCTCCATTCTCTGAGTGAGGAGCTGGCTCCAAGGTGTAATCTTGGTACTGGAAAATGGCTGGACTCCCATCCGTAACAAGGATGCCAATATCACTGGAGTGTGATGATGATTAAGCCCCTCACAGTTCCTGCTGTGTGGATACCTACCTGTGTGAGGGAGAGGGGGTGGGGGAGAGGGGGTGGGCTGCTGGCCTTGATACCTTGTGGGGTCTCTGTTTCCAACCATCAAAATCATTAATTCTCAAAAGGGGAGAAGATAGGGATACAACACTGTGCTTTGTAAACACATATTCTATGTTATAATTTAATTGTTGGTAATAAAATAGAAATTGCTTTCATAATATAAATTGGTGGTGGTGGTGGGATTATACGCCACATTGAACTTGAGCTCCAGAGAGGTGAGAGAAGTGGCAGGAAAGGTAGGCAGGTAATTCTCTAAACCATGTTTAGGAGGTTGAACTTTACCTGAGGCAAATGGAGGAATTATTTAAAGGCTTTAAATTGGGAAGTGATATGATTTGAGTCTTTTAAGGACTCCTTCAGAGGCTTGGTGGAGAAAGAATTAGAGGGGGACACGCTGGGAAGCCAGCTGACTAGTTACACTGTTGCAGTGATTCAGCTTAAGAGCTAATGGGCATCAGAATCTGGGTAACTGTGGTAGGAGTAGAAATAAGCCAGTGGTTTGGAGAAAGAGATATTCCAAAGGTAGAATAAACTTGGATTTATTCATTTGGGAGTGTGGGAGCCAAAGAGGAGTCAAGTTAGATTCCCAAGTTTCTCTGGCTTAGGCAGCAGGAAGATGGTAGTGCCATCTTGAGAGAGAATGCTGGAAGCAGCACTGGGGTATTTGGAGGGAATGAAAGGAGTAGATCCAACACACATATTATTTCTCTTTCCTTGCCTCTGGGAGACTGACAGAAAGCCCATTAATGATTCCAAAGCTGATACCCACCTCTAAATCTCCTGCCACAATTTTCTGAGAAGAGTGACAGCTCCTGTTACATTCTCCTTCTGGTCTGTTCACCCCTTCCCTCTGCTCTAGTAAGCCTAGGGTATTCGCTTAGCCTTTCCCCTCTCTCATCAACACAGTTGTATCAGAAGATAAATTTAGGAGAAAGTCACAATGAAAAATGTTATATCAGCCTGAGGGTAGAATTTAATGATGACCAACCAAGACATGTATTAATAATTGATATATATCTTTTTATTATGCACAGATAAAGTACTTAAAACTGTGGTTATCAAAACTATATATCTAAGCATGTTCACAAAATTGCTGACACACTGAACAGAGAAAAGACTACATATAACAGGGGCATTCAAACTGGCCACAGGGATTTTAAGGGTACTCTTTTTACCCTCTTACATGATGAAACACAGCAATAAAATCAGGCTCATTCAGGAAAAACCAGAAGAGAGAAGTATTGTATTTGGAAACTGATAATAGTCCTTTTTTGAAAAAAACATGTCAGTTTCATGAACAACCCCCAGCTAAAACAAACAGGAAAAAAAAAATCACACATACCATTCACCCAACAAAATGTGCTCTGTTAATACAACCAGCAGTACAACCATCACTCAAATTATGAGGTAGTTACAGTACAAAAGACTGGCACGCAACTACGTGCCCCAACACACATTCACAATCATGCCCACTACAGAACACACACAGGACATGGGTTTACAATCTTATTACAGACAAGTGAAAGACCATTTTTTGTTGTTTAGAAAATGCTATCGAAACAGCTTAGACAGAAGGAATTTCTGACTTTTAAAATACAGAGTAACAGCTGGTAAACACCACATGGTAAAAACCTATAGGATGTTACACAATCTGCCTTGGAGTTTGGAGCATTTCAACAATAGCTTTAGCATCAAACAAAACAAAACAAAAATGGGCTCTGCGAATTAAGGGTGTTGCCTGCAGAAGTAGCAAGGCTTTGCAGATAAAAGAGTTTTACTGGAATATAACAACAGTTTTATAGAAACTTGCAAAATGTGTTATAAAGTTGAGCTTGTATTTTGTATTAAAACTTTGAAGTATGAAGCAATTGGAAATGCTATAACAAGAAGCTAGGGAGAAAACTTTTTTTTATGTTCATTTTTTATAAAGAAACATTTCAGAAATACTTAATGATATTCACTTTCCAATTAACATGGGATCCAGTTTCATCAACATGGATTTCTTGATCTAAATAATACTTTTGACAATGAAACCCAAACAAATAAAATTGACTTTTTTCTTTTAAAATCTTTTGGTTTGCATCTATAAATTTGTAAATTAATTTTAAATTACTTATAAAATCATTGGCAATGTAGCATCTCTCTCAAAAATATACATTTAAATATATTACAAAAGGTTTACTTAACCCTGTCTATCTAAGAACTGGATCTTTTAATACCTCTTAATAACTAATTTTCTTTTGAACAGGAAGGAAGGGGTTTTTTAAAAAGCAAAGAACTGACCAAAAAATTCACAGTAACTGAAATTAAACATTTCATATGGAGTAACTTTTTTTTTTAAATCTAAAACACTTAAATATATCTTTATACACAAATTTTTGTAGTAAAATATAGCTATAAGTGACTTAAAGACTCTAGTCTTCTTTGAAGACATCTTTAAACTTTTTTATACATAGAATATGCTAAAACAATACATTCTCTGAAGGTTAGGCAAAGCGCAGTATTTTCAAACACAGGTAGCATAATCTAGGTCCTCCACGATGATACCTTTACGTTAAAAAAAAGTTAACTGAAGGAAAAATATTCTCTAATCTCATGTCTTCATTTGTATGTGAAAATATGCAAAATGATCATTGTAGACAATCTGGAAATCTTAGCCCTCAAGTAATGTGTTTTGGTTAAAATTATCCTGATTGAATGTTGGCACCTATTGAATCAACCAGACTATTCCTCTGTAATTTGGTAAGAATGATTGTCTTGCAACCGACTTGTTTGTCTTGCAGACACTGCCCTTAGGTCTTGGTGTCATCAACCTTAAGGTTCCATTCACAGAGAACCAGACAGCTTCCTTATTTTAAGAGCAGTGCGATTTACTTACAAATATGGCATTTGGGGGGTAAAATCTAGCCTATTCTATTTGTAGAATTCTGAGTTGTTTGGGGGAAATATGGACAAAGAATAATATTTATTTGCAATGAAACTATCCTCAGTAGTAAATGATTTGGCATGGAAAATTTCCTCTGGCATCCTTTTTTTAACATAGAGGTATCAGTTGAGCTTATTTTAGCTGCAAAGTGGCATCATATTATTTCATTATTCCACCTCAAATCCTTTTTGAGTTTGGGATATATTTAAGGCAAGAGAACTAAAGCAATCTAAATGAGTGCCCTTTTCCACATCTCAGCACTTTCTTGGCAGAAGTGGTGACACTGTTCACAGATAACCAACTGGAATCCAACAGGATCTGCCATGCATTTACTCTTACAAGAATTTGGTTTTTACAAAAGGGTCTATTAAAAAGGTTAACATGTTTTGAGGAGAAACACCAATTCTCTCAAATATATTTAAGAATAAGTTCCAACTCTGAAGGTACAGAACATTTTTAAAAGGGGAATGAATTTTTTCTTCTTCAACTGAGAAAACGAATGTGCCAGATGACATATTACATGCTTTTACTGGTATAAATATCATCACCGAGCAAATTCCTCCTTAACTCTACGATTGAATTCTGCCCCAATTTATACATTAATTTATCAGAACAGTGTCATAAATGGGCCCACATCTGCAGTCCCAGATTTGGGCCACTTTCAATTTCTCTATGTCTATAAATACGAAATTTTCATTAAGACATTTTTGCAGTAAGGGTGCTAGTGTGGGGCGAAGGAGGAAGCTGATAAGGTAATCAGCACTGGTTTTTGGCCCAGGGCACAAGAAAGGAATGTTGCCTTGATGTGTGTCAGGATACAGTCCCTGAGGGCAGCACCCATCAAGCAGACACATCAGCCCCCACAGAGGGTGGCAGCAAGGTGAGAAGTGTGCATCCTGAAGGTGCGGATTAGACAGGGAGGAACGCACTTAAAAGTCTTGAAGTATTTCTTTTCTTTTACATCTTGGTTCAGTTATAAAAAAATCTTTGGCCATATCTCACTGGTTCTATCATCTGGCTATTCTCCTTTTTACCAACTCCTTGAGTCTGCGTAAAACTCAGGGCCCCAAATTATGGCTGTTCTTACCTGGACAAAGCAGCATTTTTAAAAACTGGCATGTGTTTCACATTGAAAACCCCCAGGCCTGGGAGGGGCTGGTGGAGAAGGCCACCACCTTAGCTTTCTCACATGAACTCTAGTGTGTTACAGAAGTCCAGGGGTCGCCTTTAGATGAGCCCTGGGTGGCGGTGGTGGGGTGAATACAACAGGTGATGTTTATATTGAAGTTCACTCTCTTTACAAGGGAACCACAATCAAGCCTTCCTGGAGTCTGGCCCTGCCCTTGGCAGTGGCCCGCCGGGCTAGGCAGTGCTGTTGCTGGAACAGGGCGTACTCTGTGTGCTGCCGATGCTGTGGGCCGCACTGCTGTTCTCCGAGGCCGGCGGGGTGGTGGGGACTTGCTGCCTTCCTGCAGTCTCCCCTGCGGTTGATAAAGAAAAAGGGCAAAGAAAGACTCGTTATGTGTGTGCATTCCTGGAAAGACCATTCTTCCCTTTGCCATTTTATCTGATGTTCTTGTCAATCATGGGCAGAAGGACTTACACCATTAGGTTGTTCTTTTGGTTGGTGTTTTGTTTTTAAAGCTCTTGCGTGGAAAATGAGAACTGGTTTTTTTTTTTTTTTTTTAAGTTAACTGACAAGCAGTGGTAATGGTTAAGACTCCTGATAGTTGAAAGCCCCAGGATTTCAGTGCCTACAAACTTGGAAGAAACCACCACCAGCTGTACTGTGTGATTCAACTGACCAGAGCCTGTATTCAGGAAACCGTGTCCATCTCTTCTCGTTGTAGGGTTTGGGAGGTGAGACCTTTAAACTCTAATAAGAGACCAATGGCAGTTTAGGGACCTTTCCTGAATGCACTGTTCAAAATGGGGCTGGCAAAGCCTAAGTTTCACCCTACGCACAGCAGAGAGCCAGGTGCCCCAAGCACATAACCTACCTGAGAAACGGTGGTGGGCGGAGCCTACTCAGAAAAATCTTTTTGGGAAGGGAATTAGCTGTTCTCATTCCGGGACTGAGGTTGGAAGGGAACAGCCCTCTCCATCTTGGGGCTCACTGTGGGGTGCAGTGTGAGTATCTCATGCACAGTAAACATCCCACTTTTCATTACACACCCCACTGCATTTGAGCTAAACCTATCCCTTTGCCAAATGCGCAGTGCTCTGGAGAGGGAGGAAACCCCGGGTCACACACATGGTTTGCATTTAGCACTGCAAACGCCTCTAGAGCTAAGTCCTTCTTCAGTGAAACTGGCCTCAGGGCAGCCCTCAAAAATGGCTCTAGGTAGGGAAAAGTGATCAAGGCTCTCCGATGACAAACACTGCATCTGCTTTGAAAAGTCAGAGTATAAACTTCACGAAGGTCTGGTCAGCAGTCTCTCCCCACCCCGCTCCAATGTGGGAAGCCCCAAAGGGCCAGGTCTGTTTATGAAGCAGCCTCCTCTTTCCTGTCACACTGAAAATACACAGCTATCAGTCGAAAACACATGAGCAAAGGCTCTGCCCTCCAAGCACAGGAACTTCCATTCCCTTTCTGGGCCCCTCAAAAGCCTCTGCCAAAAACGCAGTTCTGCAAAATGTAGAACCGGCTCATGCCCTGGGTCTGGTTACAGCTTCCCCATCACCCAGTTTAGAATCACACGGCTACAGCACACATTTTTGCACCAACCTCAGGGCATTTACATGTGACAAGCATATTTGACCCTTGCTGCATTTCCCCTGATTATCTTTTCTTCTGGCGTTGGTGGGATGGAGGGGAGATGGGGGTCAATATTCCTCAGAAACAGAGAAACACTGTATTTGCACTCTTATTTTTTAGTAATCTATTTGGGACCCTCCCCAGCACTGCCCTCTACCCATCACGTGTATATGTTTTTAAAGGTGGGGAAGTTTGCCTCAATACAGTGATTTCCTGCCAGGAATTCACTTTTCCCAGAGTGGGAGCTTTATTTCTAGGGGGAAATTTAATCTCTTAGCTATTCTGATCTCCATACAACCCCTTCCTGCTACCAAAACAAACAAACAAACAAACAAAACCCTCCAGAGACCTGAACAACTCTTGATATACTTTAAAAATTCAGCTCCCTCACAACCCACATGTTGATCCACACCCAGATGACTCCTCATGTTATTAATTAGAAGGACCAATGTGGTTGTGTGTGAAGCACATTTTAAATCTACCTTTTCCCCATTTAAATAAAGGATACATCAGAGAAGCAGGAGCTAAGTCAACCCCCCCCCCTCCCCCACCCCCGGCCTTTCGCTCACCTGGGCTTCATTTGCTCAGCCTGATAGCAGCTCTGGCAAGATGGCCTTGGCTCATCTATTGACAGTGAACCCACTCTGTCTCATCCAGAGCTTGACGTGTGCTGGATTATTCACATTCAGGAAAAGTGCCAGCACTACTCCCTGCCCAGGAAGCCTGATTATTTGCTTTCCGACATCTACTTGCCAAATATAATTTGTTGCCATGTCAGTTTATTTTAATCAGTGCCCATTACAAAGGTCTTTAACTTCCTGAGTTTTGGAAACTCTTGTGCTGCTGATGCAAAACACTGTCCAAAATGAAAACCCACATAAAACAAAGAAGCCCCCGATACTCGAGATTGCACGATACATTTCACCAACGTGGACAAGTCAACTTCAACCTAATAATCTACTGACTTGAGGCAATAATGTGCCAAGGAGAATCTTTGTCTGAGAAGCTGCTTGGAAATGTTGAAAATACCTTCTTTAGATTATCCCTTCTACCTCTGTGGCTACTTTCACGTGTAAGACATGAGATTTCTCAATATAACCAAGTTGTTAAAAAAAAACCTTACCTTTTAGAAAGTCAAGTGTTTTTTTGGTGTGTGTTTTTTTTTTTAGTTAGATGGAAGTGGCAATACAGAAAAAGTCACCATAAGAAAATTTAATGTGCAGATGCTTCTGCTAAACAAAATTTTTAAAACCCAGGGTTTTCTGAGATGGGTCCGTTGGTTTTCTGCTCTCTATCACGGTGACCTCTGATTTCTTGGAGTACTATCTTTCACTAAAATATCCTTTGGGTGACAAATACAAGCAGTCCACTTCTGGAGAAGATGGGCAGGGAGGACACTCAGGGTTAAGCAGAGTAAGCCCACTTAGTGAACGTAAGGAGTTCAAGGAAAGCTCCTTGCTCATAAATATCAAATTTTGCCTTCAGAAATGTGTTCAGTCTTCATGCTTTGCTCCTAAAATCTCAAATCCCACCGATGAAGAAAGATTTGGGGAGGAGGGAGAATGAGTACGGGAAAAAGGCATGGGGTACTCAGGAGGACGTTGTGTTAGGAGAAAGATTAATTCCACCCTGCTCTGTGACTGAGCCTAGATATTGCCAGAGATATTTTAGAAATAAAAACAAAAAATTTTTAAGGGATAATTTGTTTTATTTCTTTAGCTTGGCATGGAGTTGTCCTGATCTGATTTCCTGCCACCTCTTTGGTGGGTCTACTTTACAACTGGGCTCTTATCTAGACGTTTTTTACGATGGCAGGTCCTGAGGAAGAAATTTGATCTAAGAAAGATGTGAATAACATGGTGAGGCTCTATGGGGAAACCACAACAGAGAAGAATTTTAAAGAAAGTAAGAAGAATATCGATTATTTATCCCAAAGGAGAGTGTTTGCAAATATTGTCCATAGAGGATTATGACAAAGAGGAACAGACAGCTGTTCTTTATCTCCCTTGAGGGCAAAACATGAGGAAATGAGCTTAAATGGCAGTGAAAAGGATTTAGCTCACACAAAAAATAACTTGCTGATTATGAGGTTTGGTTAGTTATAGGGGGAATTCATGGAATTTTTTTTCTTGGGAGATATTTAAGCATTGGATTGAAAGCCATAAGCCTGAGGGCAATTTCGATTTAATATTACTTGAAGCTGGAAAGAAAACAAAGATATTTTCCTCTAGGCCTAAGTGTTGGTTGCAATATTTTACCAATTAAAGTCTCAATCTCTTGATATCCTAATTGTAATTATTTCATAAGCTCAACCTTCAGTTTAGAGAAGTTTTCAGTCACTATCATTTTCAAAAATTGTCCCTCTCCACTCTCCAAGCTACAAGACCTTCTTCTTGTAGCCAAAACTCTGCAGGAGGGGGGGATTAGATGTTGTTATAAGTTATGAGGAAAGGGAAAAATGATCCAAGGCAGGAATTTAAATCTTTCAACATGTCCTGCCTACCATCTTCTTTCTATTGGGCTGTCGGAAAAGTCATGACACATTTTTGCAATGAAAAACATAGAAAAAATACGTCATGACTTTTCCGACAACCCAATATATTCCTGTAGTACAGCCAACCAGTTTGCATCTGCACTTGGTTTTCAGTGGGTATCTATCTTACTTTAACTTAACCTGCGTACTTGGGTGAAGAGTGGATCCTGCCTTCTTTACATGCACACCAGGGCTCCCATCTGTTCCAGCTGCATCTCTCTGATCCCTGGTATTCAGTTTCTTGCCTCTTCCTTAGTCACAACTTCGCCTATCTTCTTGCTTGTTTCTCTCTTCACCTGGACTAGAGGTGGGAGCTTGGAGAAACTTTAGCCCTTTAAAAACATTTGAAGCCTCCAGAGCTGCTTCTAATTAAACAACCTGAGCACTTGGGTTTCCATCTGTTGTTCCTGCTGCATCTGACTCAGGAAGACCTGGGTATGTGCTTTAAGAACACATGGCCTGTTCAACTGAGGATTGCTGAATAGAAGCCCGAGGGATTGGGACTGGCACACCTAATTCAAGACCTCAGCATTTTATTTTGCTCTGTGAAACATAGTGTTCCTTTCACTCTTAGATTTTTTTTCTGCCTATGCATCTGAGTAACCTTAAGCATCTCATGTTTTTGTAGGACTTTGGAGTTCAGAAAGCTTTTCACATACATTTCTTGTTTAAGCACTCTTACCTCCAATAACCCAGTGATGTAGGAATCATCTTTATGTTTACTAAAAGGAAATATAATTTATATACCTGGATCAGGTAACAAGACTAGCAGTTGAACAAACTAGAGCTTCACGTCCAACTTCTGATAATAGGTTGTACTGTAAGAAAAAGGATTGTATACATACACGTGGAAGGTGGCCGCCCCTCGCTTCTCCCCACCCCCAATCCTTTTTCCTCTTCCTCCTCTTATTATCATCAAACTTTGTGTGCATGTTATTCAGGGGCCATAAAGGCAAGTAAAGTAAAGATAAATTATAACATCTAACCCACCCCTCCTACAGAGTTTTGCCTGCCAAAGGGAGGTCTTTTAAGCTTAGAGAATGGGGAGGGATAATTTTTGAAATCGATAAAAACTGATTGAACACTTCTGTACACTAAAGGTAGGGCTAGTTACAGGAGTGAACTTGTGAAATAATTATAATTAGTATATCAAGGGATTAAGACATTACTTGGTACAAAATTGTAACCAA